GACCAGTACCAGCGGTGTCAAGATCGGCCTCTGTTGAGGAGGCTCGTGAAAGACGCTCCCTGGCAGTTGAAGGCAGTCTCCCTCCAACAACAACGGAGGGCGGAGGAGCGACGCTCACAACAACGAGCGGAATTCCGGGTGGCTAAAGCACAGCAAGGTTGCACAGTAGGGGGCACAGGTGGTGCATCAGCCAGTCATCTCGGTTATCTCAGTCAGTCGACCTGTGGCATCTGCTGGGTCTGCCCCATGACCTCCTGCCAGCGGGCGTTAGACACTTCACGTGGCGTCAAGGTGCACATGGCCTGGCACAAGCGTCGTGGTGACGTCACCGCCACTTCGTGGTGAATGGCGGTTGTTGTCTGTGTGTGTGTGTGTGTCTGTCTGTGTGTGTGTCTGTGTGTGTCTGTGTGTGTCTGTCTGTGTGTGTGTGTCTGTGTGTGTCTGTGTGTGTGTGTCTGTGTGTGTGTGAAAGTGTGTGTCAGTGAGTGAATGAATGAGTGAGTGTGTCAGTGAGTTAGTGAGTGGTTGAGTGTGTCAGTGTATGTGTCAGTGAGTGTGTGAATGAATGAGTGTCCTGTCCTGGTGAATGAATCTGCTACCAGCAGGGGGTGCTAACTGCCATTAAGACATAAACCCATAGACTCAACACTGCCACCCATAGATTCAACACTACCCATAGACTCAACACTGCCACCCATAGACTCAACACTGCCAATAGACTCTACAGTCTACACTATCCATAGACTCAACACTACCCATAGACACAACACTGCCCATAGACTCAACACTGCCCATAGACTCAACACTACCCATAGACTCAACACTACCCATAGACTCTACACTACCCATAGACTCAACACTGCCACCCATAGACTCAACACCGCCCATAGACTCTAAACTACCCATAGACTCAACACTACCCATAGACTCAACACTGCCACCCATAGACTCAACACTGCCACCCATAGACTCAACACTAACCAAAGACTCAACACTACCCATAGACTCAACACTACCATAGACTCAACACTGCCCATAGACTCAACACTACCCATAGACTCAACACTGCCCATAGACTCAACACTACCTATAGACTCAGCACTGCCCATCGACTTAACATTGCCCATAGACTCAACACTGCCCATAGACTCAACACTACCCATAGACTCAACACTACCCATAGACTCAACACTACCCACAGACTCAACACTGCCCATAGACTCAACACTGCCCATAGACTCAACACTGCCCATAGACTCAACACTGCCCATAGACTCAACACTACCCATAGACTCAACACTACCCATAGACTCTACACTACCCATAGACTCAACACTGCCACCCATAGACTCAACACCGCCCATAGACTCTAAACTACCCATAGACTCAACACTGCCCATAGACTCAACACTACCCATAGACTCAACACTGCCCATTGACTCAACACTACCCATAGACTCAACACTACCCATAGACTCTACACTACCCATAGACTCAACACTGCCACCCATAGACTCAACACCGCCCATAGACTCTAAACTACCCATAGACTCAACACTGCCCATAGACTCAACACTACCCATAGACTCAACACTGCCCATTGACTCAACACTACCCATAGACTCAACACTACCCATAGACTCAACACTACCCATAGACTCAACACTACCCATAGACTCAACACTGCCACCCATAGACTCAACACTGCCACCCATAGACTCAACACTAACCAAAGACTCAACACTACCCATAGACTCAACACTACCCATAGACTCAACACTGCCCATAGACTCAACACTACCCATAGACTCAGCACTGCCCATCGACTTAACATTGCCCATAGACTCAACACTGCCCATAGACTCAACACTACCCATAGACTCAACACTACCCATAGACTCAACACTACCCACAGACTCAACACTGCCCATATACTCAACACTGCCCATAGACTCAACACTGCCCATAGACTCAACACTACCCATAGACTCAACACTGCCCATAGACTCAACACTACCCATAGACTCAGCACTGCATGTGTGTTGGATTGAGTGTGTGTCAGGCTATGTTTGTGTGTATGTAGGACTGTGTGTGTATGTAAGGTTGTGTGTGTGTGTGATTATGTGTCAGTGTGTGTGTGTGTCTCTGTGTGTCTCAGTATGCGTGTCTCTGTGTGTGTGTCAATGTGTGTCTGTGTGTGTGTGTGTCTGAGTGTGTATGTGTGTCAATGTGTATGTGTCTCATTGTGCGTGTCTCCGTGTGTGTGTGTCTGAGTGTGTCAATGTGTGTGTGTCAGTGTGTGCGTGTCTCTGTGTGTGTGTGTGTCTGAGTGCGTCAATGTGTGTGTGTTAGTGTGTGCGTGCGTGTCTATCAGCTGTCCCCATCGGGTTCAGAGTTACGTGAGGTGAAGGGACACTCATTGAAGCGTGGTGATAAACCCCTGCTCCGTACCAGTCCAGAGTCCAACCACCACCACCACTACAACAACCACCACCACCTCCACCCACCACCTCCACCACCCACCTCAGCCACGTCCACCACCACCAGCTGGCTGTGTATGAGTGTGTGAGTGTGTGAGCGTGTGAGTGTCTGAGTGAGAGAGTGTGTGAGTTAGTGTGAGTGAGTGAGTGTGAGTGTGTGTGAGTGTGTGTCTCTGTCTCTGTGTGTCTCTCTGTGCGTCTCTCTGTGTCTCTGTGTGTCTCTGTGTGTGTCTCTCTCTCTCTCTGTGTCTCTGTGTGTGTCTCTCTGTGTCTCTCTGTCTCTGTGTGTGTCTCTCTCTCTCTCTCTGTGTCTCTGTGTGTGTGTCTCTCTGTGTGTCTCTCTGTGTGCGTTTCTCTGTGTCTCTGTGTGTGTCTCTCTCTCTGTGTCTCTCTGTGTGTGTCTCTGTGTGTCTCTCTCTCTGTGTGTGTGTCTCTGTGTGTGTCTCTGTGTGTGTGTATTTGTGTGTGTGTCTCTCTCTCTCTGCGTGTGTCTCTGTGTGTGCCTCTGTGTGCCTCTCTGTGTCTCTCTGTTTGTGCCTCTCTGTGTGCCTCTCTGTGTGTCTCTGTGTGTCTCTCTGTGTGTCTCTCTGTGTGTCTCTCCCTCCAAAAACATCCGAACCATCACCATCACCACCACCCCCACAATGATCACCACCCCACCACCGTTACCCCCACTTTGTGCAGAGTCACGACTCCACACTGAGTCGCTTTCATCAGAATGTGCTGCTCCTTAATCCCGAAGTTTGTCTAGAGGCTCTGAGTGTTTGCAAGTGTGTGTGTGTAAGTGTGCGTGTAAGTGTGTCAGTGTGTGTGTGTTTCAAAGTGTGTGTGTATGTGTGTAAGTGTGTGTGTCAGTGTGTGTGTGTAAGTGTGTGTAAGTATCAGTGTGTGTGTGTAAGTGTGTTTGCGTGTGTAAATATCTGAATGAGTGAGTGGGTGAGTGAGTGAGTAGGTGAGTGAGTGAGTGGGTGAGTGGGTGAGGAGTAAGTGAGTGAATGAGCAGGTGAGTGAGTGAGTGGGTGAGTGAGTGGGTGAGTGAGTGGGTGAGTGAGTGGGTGGGTGAGTGAGCAGGTGAGTGAGTGAGTGGGTGAGTGAGTGAGTGAATGAGCAGGTGAGTGAGTGGGTGAATGGGTGGGTGAGCAGGTGAGTGAGTGGGTGAGTAGGTGAGTGAGTGATGTTGTTGGTGATGTTGTTGGTGATGTTGATGATGAGTCTGTACCGGGAACAGGGGAATGTCTCCCCTCTAACCCCTCCCTCGCTATCTCTGTGCGGTCGACGAACCCCTAGAGCCCAAAGACAAAGATCCCCCGTGTAGCCTCTAGCAGGCTGTAGGGGCAAGTGCTGTTAGTGGCACTTACACACAGACAAAGATCCCCCGTGTAGCCTCTAGCAGGCTGTAGGGGCAAGTGCTGCTAGTAGCACCTACACACAGACAAAGATCCCCCGTGTAGCCTCTAGCAGGCTGTAGGGGCAAGTGCTGCTAGTAGCAGCACCACCACGCCCGGCCGCCTTTGTCTCTGCCCCAGTGCTAGCGATGTTCACTACAACACCACTATATCATCACTACACCGCTACACCAGGTACTCATTTGAGGCTGAGTCGACCTAAGGGAGGCCCAGGACCGGTTCAGACAATCGTCACTGGTGGTGTTGGCCGTGAGCGAGAATCGAACTCGGGTAGCCGAGTTCATAGTGCAGCGTAGTGCTACCTACTACACTACCACTCACACACACACAGACACTGACACACACACAGTGTACACACACACACAGACACACACACTGACACACACACACAGACACACACACACTCGCACAGTGTCACACACACACTCACACAGACACACACTCACACACACACATACACACACAGTGTCACACACTCACACACTCACACACACACAGTGTCACACACACTCACACACACACAGTGTCACACACTCACACACACATACAGTGTCACACACACACACACAGTGTCACACACACACACTCACACACACAGTGTCACATACTCACACACACAGTGTCACACAGACACACGCTCATACACTCACACACTCACACACACACAGTGTCACACAGACACACACTCACACACTCACTCGCTCACCCACACAGTGTCACACACTCACAATGTACACCCTGAGTGAGGTCATGGGCCTATGAGTGAGGTCCTCCTGAGTGAGGTCATGGGCCCCTGAGTGAGGGCTCCTGAGTGAGGTCATGGGCCCCTGAGTGAGGGCCCCTTAGTGAGGGCCCCTGAGTGAGGGCCCCTGAGTGAGGTCATGGGCCCCTGAGTGAGGTCATGGGCCCCTGAGTGAGGTCAAGGGCCCTGAGTGACCTGGTCGATCTTTATGGAGCTCTGGCGGGGCCCATGACCTCACTCAGGAGCCCTTGACCTCACTCAGGGGCCCTTGACCTCACTCAGGGGCCCTCACTCAGGGGCCCATGACCCTCCGCGGGGCTCCGCCCACGGCCGCTGCCGGGCTACTAAAGCGGCGCTCACGGCGCTCACACTCACAGTCTCTCACAGTCACACACACACACAGTCTCTCTGCCTGTGTCTCTCTGTGTGTCTCAGTGTCTCTCTGTGTCTCTCTGTGTCGCTTGCAGTGTCTCTGTGTCTCTGTCTCTCTGTGTCTCTCTCCCAGTGTCTCTCTGTGTCTGTGTCTCTCTGTCTCTCTCTCCCAGTGTCTCCGTGTCTCTGTGTGTGAGTGTCTCTCTGTGAGTGTCTATCTGTGACTCTCTCCCAGTGTCTCTGTGTCTCTCTGAGTCTCTGTGTGTCTCTCTGTGAGTGTCCCTGTGAGTGTCTCTGTGAGTGTCTGAGTGGTAGTGCCATGGCGTTCCTCAGCACATGGGTTCCTAAAGTAAGTGACAGCGAAAATGCCTGTGTGGTGGTGGTAGTGGTAGTAATGGTAGCAACAGCACTTGCCCCTACAGCCTGCTAGAGGCTACACGGGGGATCTTTGTCTGTATAGGTGCTACTAACAGCACTTGCCCCTACAGCCTGCTAGAGGCTACACGGGGGGTCTTTGTCTGTGTGTAGGTGCTACTAGCAGCACTTGCCCCTACAGCCTGCTAGAGGCTACACCGGGGATCTTTGTCTGTGTATAGGTGCTACTAACAGCACTTGCCCTACAGCCTGCTAGAGGCTACACGGGGGATCTTTGTCTGTGTGTAGGTGCTACTGGCGGCACTTGCCCCTACAGCCTGCTAGAGGCTACACGGGGGATCTTTGTCTGTGTGTATGTGTGACAGCACTTGCCCCTACAGCCTGCTAGAGGCTACACGGGGGATCTTTGTCTGTGTAGGTGCTACTTACAGCACTTGCCCCTACAGCCTGCTAGAGGCTACACGGGGGATCTTTGTCTGTGTGTAGGTGCTGTTATGGGGAGCGGTGGGTGTAGTGGTTAGCGCTATGCTGCGCTACGAACCTGGCGACCCGAGTTCGATTCCCGCTCACGGCCAACACCGGTGACGGATTATCTGAGCCGGTCCCGGGCCTCCCCTAGGTCGACTCAGCCTCAAATGAGTACCTGGTGTAGCGGTGTAGTGTAGTGAACATCGCTAGCACTGGGGGAGAGACAAAGGCGGCCGGGCGTGGTGCTGGCCACCCACCCCCTCGTGTGCCGTGCTGGCCTTCATAGGTGCTCGCTAACAGTACTTGCCCCTACAGTCTGTTAAGGCTATATGGGGGATCTTTTGTGTCTGTGTGTATCTGTGTGTATCTGTGTGTATCTGTGTGTGTCTGGGTGTCTGTGTGTGTGTGTGTCTGTGTGTCTCTGTGTGTGTATCAGTCTCACTGTGTGTGTGTCTGTGTGTGTGTGTCTGTGTGTGTGTATCTGTGTGTGTATCTGTGTGTGTATCTGTGTGTGTGTGTATCAGTCTCACTGTGTGTGTGTCTGTGTGTGTGTCTGTGTGTGTGTGTATCAGTCTCACTGTGTGTGTATCTGTGTGTGTGTGTCTGTGTGTGTGTGTATCTGTGTGTGTGTATCAGTCTCACTGTGTGTGTCTGTGTGTGTGTCTGTGTGTCTACAGGACATGCAGCGTGCTACGAATGTGGTGTATCAGTCTCACCACGTGAGTCGCTCCAAGCGTGGCCAGGTGGTCGGGAACCGGGCCGGGTTCAGGGGATGCACCATCTGGCTTACAGGTACACACACACACATACACACACATACACACACACACATACACACACATACATACACACACACATACAAACATATACATACATACACACAGATACACACACACATACACACAGATACATACACACAGATACACACACATATACACACAGATACATACACACACACACATACACACATACACACACATACACACACATACATACACAACAACACAACAATCGCCATTCGCCACTAAGTGGCGGTGACGTCACCACGACGCTTTTGCCGGGCCATGTGCACTTTGAGGCTATCACGTGAAGTGTCGAAATCCCGCTGGCAGGAGGTCACGGGACAGACCCAGCAGGTGCCACGGGTCGACTGACTGAGATGACCGAGATGACTGGCTGATGCACCACCTGTGCCCCCTACTGTACCAACTTGCTGCGCGTTAGCCACCCGGCACTCCGCTCGTTGTTGTGAGCGTCGCTCCTCCGCCCTCCGTTGTTGTTGGAGGGCGACTGCCTCCAACTGCCCAGTAGCGTCCTTCACGAGCCTCCTCCACAGAGGCCGATCTTGACACCGCTGGTACCAGTCATCGGCAAGTCCACGCAGCTCCACGTCCTCCTGTATCACGTCACTCCATCTCTTCTCCACACAGAGACACACAGAGACACACAGAGACACACAGAGACACAGAGAGACACAGAGAGATACACGGAGACACAGAGACACACAGAGACACACAGAGATACACAGAGACACTCAGAGACACGCAGACACACGTAGAGACACTCAGACACACGTAGAGACACTCAGAGACACGCAGAGACACGCAGAGACACGCAGAGACACAGAGAGATACACGGAGATACAAGGAGACACGGAAACACACAGAGACACACACACAGATGCGCAGAGACGCACAGAGACACACACAGAGACACGCAGAGACACACAGAGACACACAGAGACGCACAGAGACGCACAGAGACGCACAGAGACGCACAGAGACGCACAGAGACGCGCGGAGACACGCGGAGACACGCGGAGACACGCGGAGACACACAAAGATACACAGAGAGACACAGAGACACACAGAGACACACAGAGACACACAGACACACAGAGACACACAGAGACATCGACACAGAGACACACAGAGACACACAAAGACTCACAGACACACACAGACACACAGAGACACAGAGACACACAGAGACACACCGAGACATCTACACAGAGACACACAGAGACACACATTCACTCACTCACACACACTCACTCACACTAACTCACTCACTCTCACTCACTCACACACACTCACTCACACTCACACAGACTCACTCACACTCACTCACACTCACTCACCCACTTACCCACTCACCCACTCGCTCACACACTCACTCACACACACTCAATCACACACTCACTCGCACACTCGCACACTCGCACACTCACTCACACACTCACTCACTCACACACTCTCTCACTCACACCACTCACACTCACTCACACACTTACCCACTCACACACTCATTCACTCACTCACTCACAAACTCACACATTCACTCATACACTCACTCACTCACACACTCATTCACTCATTCACTCACACACTCACTCACAAACTCACACATTCACTCATACACTCACTCACTCACACACTCATTCACTCACACACTCACTCACAAACTCACACATTCACTCACTCAGACACACAGAGACACACAGAGACACACAGAGACATCGACACAGAGACGCACAGAGACACACAGAGACACCCACACGCGCTCCGTGTGTCCGCCAGGTCTGTCCGGAGCGGGCAAGACGACCCTGGGCTTTGCGCTGGAGGAGTATCTGGTGGTGCACGACATCCCCTGCTACTCGCTGGACGGTGACAACGTCCGCCACGGCCTCAACAAGAACCTGGGCTTCACGCCGAGCGACCGCGAGGAAAACATCCGGCGCATCGCAGAGGTGGCCAGGCTGTTCGCTGACGCGGGGCTGGTGTGCATCACCTCGTTCATCTCTCCCTACCAGCGGGTAACTACTCAGTCGCTTAGTCAGTCGCTCAGTCAGTCAGTCGCTTAGTCAGTCAGTCAGTCGCTTAGTAAGTCAGTCACTCAGTCAGTCGCTCAGTCAGTCGCTCAGTCAGTCGCTCAGTCAGTCGCTTAGTCAGTCACTCAGTCACTCAGTCAGTCAGTCAGTCACTCAGTCAGTCACTCAGTCAGTTACACACTCAGTCAGTCACTCAGTCAGTCACTCAGTCACTCGCTCAGTCAGTCACTCAGTCAGTCACTCAGTCAGTCGCTCAGTCAGTCGCTCAGTCAGTCACTCAGTCAGTCAGTCACTCAGTCAGTCACTCAGTCAGTTACACACTCAGTTACACACTCAGACAGTCAGTCAGTCACTCAGTCATTCAGTCACTCAGTCAGTCACTCAGTCACTCAGTCAGTCACTCACTCAGTCACTCAGTCAGTTACACACTCAGTTGCACACTCACTCAGTCAGTCACTCGGCGAGTCACTCAGTGTGTGTGTATGTCTATGTGTCTATATCTGTGTGTGTCTCTGTGTGTGTCTCTGTGTGTGTGTGTGTCTATGTGTGTGTCTATGTGTCTATGTCTATGTGTGTGTCTATGTCTCTATATCTATGTGTGTGTGTGTCTCTCTGCGTGTGTCTCTGTAGGACCGTGAGAATGCCCGTAAGATCCACTCTGACGCTGGGCTGCCCTTCTTTGAGCTCTTTGTGGACGCTCCGCTGGAGGTCTGTGAGCAACGAGACGTGAAAGGCCTCTACAAGAAGGCCAGAGCCGGGGAGATCAAGGGTGAGACACACACAGACACACACACACACACAACAACAACCGCCATTCGCCCCTAAGTTGCGGTGACGTCACCACAACGCTTGTGCCAGGCCATGTGCACCTTGAGGCCACGTGAAGTATTGAACGCCCGCTGACGGGAGGTCACGGGGCAGACTCAGCAGGTGCCACAGGTCGACTGACTGAGACGAGTGGTTGATGCACCACCTGTGCCCCTACTGTGCCAACTTGCTGCGTTTTAGCCACCCGGCGCTCTACTCGTTGTTGTGAGCGTCGCTCCTCCGCCCTCCGTTGTTGTTGGAGGGCGACTGCCTCCAACTGCCCAGTAGCGTCCTTCACGAGCCTCCTCCACAGAGGCCGATCTTGACACCGCTGGTACCAGTCATCGGCAAGTCCACTCAGATCCACGTCCTCTTGTACCACATCACTCCATCTCTTCTCTAGCCCATGCCGTGCCCATTTAGCCCCCTCGATCCGGCCGAACAAAAGCTGTTTAGGCATGCGGTGGCTGAGCATGCGGGCTACATGACCCAGCCAACGCAGCCTTGCCTGCAGGAGGAGCTCACCGATGGGACTTTGTCCAATCCGGCCTGGTTAAACCCAGGATGGATGGTAGGCAGGCCAGCCTCAATGTTTCTAACCAGTATCATAGGCCTTGACCAGGTCAATAAAGCAGAGATGTAGGTCTTGTTGGAATTCCCTACACCTCTGCTGTAGCAGACAGACAGAAATATGGCATCAGTGCAGGACCGCCCTTTCCTGAAACCGCATTGGGGCTCCGCAAGCAATCCTTGCCAGGACCTTTCCCGGCACACTGAGGAGTGAGATGCCCCTGTAGTTGTTACAGTCTGTGCGGTCCCCCTTCTTAAAGGGAGGGACCACACAGACTGTGTGTGTACACTGTGTGTGTGTGTACACTGTGTGTGTGTGTACACTGTGTGTGTGAACTGTGTGTGTGTGTGTACACTGTGTGTGTGTGTACACTGTGTGTGTGTGTGCTTGTGTGTGTGTGCGTTCGACACTTCACCTGGCCTCAAGGTGCACTTGGCCTGGCACAAGCGTCGTGGTGACGTCACCGCCACTTAGTGGCGAATGGCGGTTGTTGTTGTGTGTGTATACACTGTGTGCGTGTGTGTACACTGTGTGTGTGTTCACTGTGTGCACTGTGTGTGTGTACACTGTGTGTGTGTGTGTACACTGTGTGTGTGTATTCACTGTGTACACTGTGTGTGTGCGTCTGTGCGCAGGCTTCACCGGCATTGACTCGTCGTACGACAAGCCGGAGACTCCGGACCTGGTGCTCAAGACGAGCGAGACGACCATCGATGAGTGCGTCATGCGGATCGTGGAGCTCCTGCAGGAGGGGGTGAAACACTCACTCAGTCACTCACTCACTCACTCAGTCACTCACTCAGTCAGTCACTCACTCACTCACTCAGTCACTCACTCAGTCACTCACTGTGTCACTCACTCAGTCACTCACTCACTCAGTCACTCACTCAGTCACTCACTCAGTCAGTCAGTCACTCACTCAGTCACTCACTCAGTGTCACTCAGTCACTCACTCAGTCACTCACTCAGTCACTCACTGTGTCACTCACTCAGTAACTCACTGTGTCACTCACTCACTGTGTGTGTCACTCACTGTGTGTGTCACTCACTGTGTGTGTCACTGTGTGTGTGTCACACACACAGGGTATTGTGCCCATGTCCGCCACAGTGGAGGTCAAGGAGCTCTTCGTAGCTGAGAACGCCGTGAGCGCCCTGCAGGCCGAGATGCAGGGCTTGCCCACACTGAGCATCACAGAGGTGAGTGGGTGGGTGAGTGGGTGAGAGAAAGGGTGAGTGGGTGAGTGAGTGAGCGTGGGAGTGAGTGAGTGGGTGAGTAGGTGAGTGAGTCAGTGGGTGAGTAGGTGAGTCAGTGAGTGAGTTTTTGAGTGTGTGAGTCAGTGGATGAGTGAGTGGGTGAGTGGGGGAGTGTGTGAGTGTGTAAGTGACTGAGTGTGTGAATGAGTGGGTGAATGAGTGGGTGAGTGAGTGGGTGGGTGAGTGAGTTGGTGAGTGAGTGTGGTGTGTCTGAGTGGGTGAGTGAGTGTGTATCTGTGTAGTATGTGTCTAAATGTGTGTGTGTGTGAGTGTGTGTGAGTGTGTGTGTATGTGTAGTATTTGTATATATTTGTGTCTGTGTGTATCTGTGTAGTATGTGTATATATGTGTGTGTCTGTGTGTGTGCAGTTGGACCTGCAGTGGGTGCAGGTGCTGTCTGAGGGCTGGGCTACGCCGCTGGCCGGCTTCATGCGTGAGAGGGAATACTTACAGTGCCTGCACTTCAACTGCCTGCTCGATGGTACTCACCACTCACTCACACACTCACCCACTCACTCACTCACTCACCCACTCACTCACTCACTTCACCCACTCACCCACCCACTCACTCACCACCTCACTCACTCACCCACTCCCTCACCTCACCCACTCACTCACTCACTCACCCACTCACCCCCCACTCACTCACCACTCACTCACCATTCACTCACCACTCACTCACTCACCACTCATACACTCACTCACCCACTCACTCACTCACCACTCACTCACCACTCACTCACCACTCACTCACTGACTAACCCACTCACTCACTCACCACTCAAACACCCACTCACCCACTCACGCCTCACTCACCCACTCACTCACTCACTCACCCACTCACCCACTCACCACTCACTCACCATTCACTCACCACTCACTCATACACTCACTCATACACTCACTCACCCACTCACTCACTCACCACTCACTCACCACTCACTCACCACTCACTCACTGACTAACCCACTCACTCACTCACCACTCACTCACCACTCAAACACCCACTCACCCACCCACTCACCCACTCACTCACCCACTCACTCACTCACCTACCCACTCACTCACTCACCCACTCACTCACCCACTCACTCACTCACTCACCTACCCACTCACTCACTCACTCACCCACTCACTCACTCACTCACCCACTCACTCACCCACTCACCCACTCACTCACCCACTCACCCACTCA